TCACCACCTGCCTCACCACCTGCCTCACCACCTGCCTCACCACCTGCATCACCACCTGCATCACACCCATCCACGCTGCTCTCCCTCTCACCTGTGTGGGTTGACGAGCTGGAAGTCGTCCCAGGTGAGGATGCCGTGGTACCAGGCGGGCGGTTTTGGTTTGGGGGGGTCCATGATGAACTCTGACTTGGAGTCCTCGTCGAAGCTCCCCACGGAGTAGGTCTCCTGGCTCTCCTCGGTGGACGCCTCCGACTGCAGCTCGGACAGCAGCAGGAAGGGCAGCGGGTTGGGCCGGTCGGCGTCGTGTCCCGGGGGAGACCCGCGACTCTGGTAGAGCAGCTTGCTCATGTTGGACTTAATGTCACCCATGCAGAGCAGCTTGAAGAAGGGCTGGGAGACCGGCAGGTCCACCAGCCGGTTGTCCTGGATGCACTTGGCCAGGAAGACGCCCAGGAAGTGGAAGAGCTTGGCGATCCGCTCCAGCTCCTCGCTGTCCTGAGGGAACGGAGCCGGGAACAGACCGCAGGAGCGCTGAACGTAGAAACCAGGAGGCTTCAGACCACCACCCAGATCCACCTGAGACCCAGAGAGACCAGGTCTATTAATTCAGACGATAGAGGAGATGTTGTCTGTGTGCGTGTGTCTGTGTTTGTGTGTGTGTCTGTGTGTCTGTCTGTGTGTGTCTCTGGGTGCGTTGAGATGTTGTTGTTGTTTACCTGTCTGGACTCGTCGTCTGGGAAGTCGTCGTCACACAGGTAGATCCCCAGAGACGTCCTCTGGAACTCAGCGGCCACCAGAGCGTAGAACTCCAGAGTTGGACCCAGACCGGTTCCCTCCTCCCCCTGAAACTCCACCTGAACACAGAACACAGACATGGTGAGGGGGGGGCTGCCAGAAACCTGGTTCTAAAGTCGTAGAACCTGTTAGTACTGAAGAGGTCCAGAGTTATCGGTTCTACTGTCGGTACTTTATTTAGTTCTGCAGAGAGACGTCTTCAGAAGTTTATAAACAAAACGATAAAGAAATGATGATTATTGTGTGAATGAATGAAAGGTTCAGATATTCAAAGACGCTCTGAATCTAGTGACGGAGTAATCTCACTACGATGAAGTCCGTTTGATCCCATCAAAAGCTCCAGAAGAAGTAAGAGGCCTTTGAGTTAGTTTGTTTATATCTTTTACATCAAATAAAAATCTCAACATATTGATCGTTTCCTGTCTTTTATTGTGAAGAACGTTGTCTCACCTCCAGCACCGACTTCCTGTCTGCGTGCAGCTGCATGACTGACTCCGCCCACTCCATCATGGCTTCTCCTCGGGGGACTTTCACTCGCTCGTGTTTCAGCCGACCGACCCTAAACTCACCGGGGTCGTCCCGCCGCACCGTGGTGGACGGGCGGGACCGCTCCATGGTCGCCTCCCGCCGGTTCTGGAGCCACACGATGGCCCTGCAGGACACACCGGGGTCAGAGGTTAAGTTTAAGAGATATATATAAATAATGAGTTTAAGGGCTGATGAATGTCTGAAATCAAAAGGTTTATTATCTTTTAAATCCAGTTTTTCAGGATTTATTCACTAGTGTTTGGGTTCCTCTCACTTCTTTATGTATTGTATTATTCTCTACTCTCATCTTACTGACATCCGTCCCTCAGACTCACCTGGACGCTCCGAACGCCGTGCAGGTGAAGTAGAGCTGTCGGGTCTCGAAGGGGATGAGGAAAGGACACTTGGAGGTGAGCTGTTCACACCAGTCGGGCAGAGCTCCACTGGCCAGAGCCAGAGGCTCCTAGGAAACGAGGAAACATCCTGTTTAACAACAACAACAACAACAACAACAACAACAACAACAACAACAACCGGCTCTGTGCAGACAGGAAGTGGTGAGCGGACCTCGATCTGCTGCAGGATCTTGGTGGTGATCTTCTTACTGGTGAACTCCTCTGGAGACGCGTTGAACTGCAGCTCATCAAAGTCTGCAGACATAAAGATAAAGCACCAAGTATTGAGATCTGTTCATTGTTAGAACGTGATGAATGAATTCCATCAAGAACCGTCTTTAAATGTTATTCAAGGAATGTCTGTAAAGTCACACTGACCTCAAAGAAACTTCAAACACACGAACGGAGCAGTAAACTGTGTGTGTGCGTGTACGTACCCTCCTGCAGTGTGTGTGTGTACGTACCCTCCTGCAGTGTGTGTGTGTACGTACCCTCCTGCAGTGTGTGTGTGTACGTACCCTCCTGCAGTGTGTGTGTGTGTGTGCCCTCCTGCAGTGTGTGTGTGTGTACCCTCCTGCAGTGTGTGTGTACGTACCCTCCTGCAGTGTGTGTGTGTACGTACCCTCCTGCAGTGTGTGTGTGTGCCCTCCTGCAGTGTGTGTGTGTACGTACCCTCCTGCAGTGTGTGTGTGTGTGCCCTCCTGCAGTGTGTGTGTGTGTGTGTACGTACCCTCCTGCAGTGTGTGTGTGTTGGTTGCTCCGTCTCCTCCGATGATGTAGAGGATGCGCAGCAGCTGCAGGACATCTTCGACTCCGCAGGCGTTCTGGCTGCAGCCGGCCTTCGCCTGCGCCATCTCCCGGGCAACGCACAGGATCTCGCTGCTCTGATTGGCTGAGACCGATCCGGGGCTCAGACCGCCGGAGCGACCCCCTGATATACTGATGCTGTGTTCACACAGGTCCTGTAGGGGGGGCAGAGGTCAGATGGGTTTCATTGGAAACATATATACACATTTTAAACTATTCCCATGTCTCCAGCCAGCCCCTCCAGCCAGCCCCCCCCCCCTCTCCTCCCCATGCTTCAGCGGGTTAGTGTGTGACATGAAGTTAAAAGTTAGTGAGAGAACACAGCGACGTCTCACCATCTTTCCGCTCTCCTTCTCTTTCTCAGAGTCCTTCAGCTCTCTGTACATTATCCTGCAGGACCAGAAACACAACACATCAGACCCGTTTCACATCACACTGGACCTGAACCTGGTTCTGGTCTCTTACGTGTACGTGGGCTCCCAGATGCGCCGCAGCTTGTCCGTCTTCACGGCTCCGCTGCAGGAGAGCTGCAGCAGCCGCTGGACGTAGTAGAAGATGGTGGACTTGTAGTTGGACAGAGGAAGCTCCACCTCCCGGGTCGTCCCTAGACCGGCCACCTGAACACACACACGCACACACACACACACACGCTTGTTAACCTTCTACAGACGTTTCCTGACGAGCTCAGCTGATTGGTGACGTCGTACCTTCAGGGTGAGAGACAGGTGAGGAGACGGAGCACACTCCACCTCCTCCTGGACCTCCGAGCGAGGAGTACCTGTCAGAGGAAAAAGGTTTAAATACTGAAATAGAATGCATTTATTCTCATCGAGCAAAGTACAACAAATACTGACTGCATATATAAACATACTCGATATGTATTTGTTGTGAAAACGGTGAGATAGTTTATTGTATCGGCCCAAAACACAATAAATAAATACAAAGATGCTTAAAAATAATTACTGAACTCAGAAATGTTGCTCAGTTTCAAAATAAAATCATACGAATGTTTACTGAACGTTGATGTTTCATCAGTTTCATCCATCCGACGTAAACATGTCGAAAAATACATGAAATGATTTGTAAAGTACGCTGATGATTTTTGAGAAAAACTATATTAGTAACTTGTGTGTAAAACTTATCTGAACAGTACAAGTAATACGTTAAGACTTAAAGTAAAATATGGTTAAAACTTGGTGAGAAAATTTAGTAAAATATGTGATTTATTTTTGTGTGAAAAAGGTGTTTTTTGTTGCAGGTATTTTAGGATCCAGTGTGTGTCTTAGTGTGTGTGTGGTACCTGGCTGGGGGATCTCCAGGTCGGTGGTCTGCTGGACGTTGGTTCTTCCTGGTCTGGGGTCAAAAGCGGGGACCAGAGCAGAGAACTGTCTCTTGAGGACAAAGTCGTCGTCCCACGTCCTCCTGCGACCTCCTTTGGTCTCGTACTCCTCCTCCTCCTGCGACACACACACACA